CATCCTTTCGCTACGTAGGTTTGCATGACATTAAAACCAAATATCATCTCTTTCAATTTAAACTTTCAATTTCAGTTCTATATAAACGAAAGTTATTTTTACGAGCATCCTAATTAGATAGAAAACATCTCTGTTTCACTTCAGTAAGTACGTTTCTGTTTAATTTGAGGATGTACGCCTTTTAAGGTGATAAGTCCTACATAAGCTCGGAAGTAATCGGAAAAGCTCGTAATTTTCCATGCATCAAAAAAGAATTAAGCGTCTTTTTTTTCGAATCAACATAAAACTCGTATCAATTGAACGCTTTAAAATATGACAATGGGATAATATGTAAAATTCAAGCAACCAAATGTGTAGCAATACTGAACTACTTTCTTTATTAATACAAAGAAATCATCATGATCTTGAAACAAATTACGTGACAGGAAGTCAGTACTTATTGGAGAAAAATGGTGTCAAGAAGTACAATGAGAAAGGGTGAACATTTCTAAAACTGGACCGAATAAGATAGCCGGACCATTGCTATAACCATATTATCATTTACTCTGTCCCTCGATACCTTAATAACTTTCCCGACACCTATGAGATGATCTGTGTCAGTGTAGCCATTTGTTAAAATCAAATTTTAAACAGTTTAATGATGTCTTGACTGCACAAATTTTATTAAGCCAATCCATCTTTTTTTTTTGGGGGGGGGGGGTGTTATTGTTTTTCTTTCTTCTTTTTTTTTCTTGTTGTTTTAAATGACAACGAGAGAAGGTTGCTCCCAACTCTGTCCTTGATTAACTCGACATATTTTGTTTTTTAAACTTACATTTAGTTCGATGGAATGCTCAACACGTTACATTACTTTTATATAAGTAGTCATTGTTATAAAATAGAAACAAAATATTCCGTTCTATTTGAAAACAATTAAACACACATTGTGGGCTAAGTGTACGCATACTTTCATTTTGCAGAATGTGTTTGTTCAAGTTTATAATGTTTACATGACTTTAAGATGCATTGCTATCTCAATCAATTGTAAGCCGAGGTTAATTAGTTTTATAAGAAAAATAAATGAATGTATATCTTACACTCTTCACACATTTCCTCTATCAAACAAATGGAACAGTCAAGTGCATTTTTAAATGATAAATGTCTAGCATTAAAAAAGAATGTTTGCACGTCATAAGACGTCAGATATGGCGTCAATTAATAAAATCAAATTACTTCTGCGCAAAATGTAGTTCAACATAGTTTTATCAAATCGCTATTTTATTAGCATGTGAGCATGGAAATAGATATTTTTTTCATGCATTGACAATAAAGTTGAGAAAACTAATTAATTACTCAGGCCTATGGGCCTTTGTGATAATATTTAAACTAAACTTAAACCATGCATTATTCTAAAAGAATGCACTCAACATTGATATCTATTTCCTAAATACAGAACATAATTATTTTTTTAATTGCACTGTCTCATTCATTTCGCTTTCAAGTAGTTCCAGACAGTCGTAGCGGCAGCCTAAGATGAATGCAGTAAACGTGGCCGCTGGTCGACAACGGTCAGCAGCGCGTAGTGCGTCGGAGCATCGTAGTACTGTCGTAATATAGACCATAGGTGCCAATTTGCTCTATTTTGACGACATTCGTCCGCGATCTAATTAGACATTTTTTTCAATATTTAGACGTCAAATAAATGCTTACATTTGTAAATTTCGTTTTTTTTTTGTTTTTTTTTTTTTGGTATTGTTGTTTCGTCGTGCATTAATTTGAAAATGAAAACGGCATATCATCATTCTTACCCTTAATATTAACACTTACCATCATCAATATCAACATCATCTACAATAACTGCTGAAGCATTTTCATTCTGATCTTCATTTTCAATGTCTGATGTAAACAAAAAGGATAGTACTATTATTATAACAATTGCATGTATGTACATTAATGAGTCAGTTCTAACAGCAACAAAATCATGACAATTGTTCCTCTTTCCGTAAACGACATCAACCACACATTTTCACACTCCTTTTTTATCCCATTAACAACCAAAACATTCCCATCATCTTACATTTCAAATAAAGCCTCACGGTTTAGCATGCCCTAATTAGTAATTAAAGCAACAGAATATAAACATACCATTTTTAGATTACTCCATCGGAAAATTCTGCTTTTCCCTACTTAACGTTTTCGTAAAAAAAAAAAAAAAAATATAATAATTCATTTAAAAATCAAAAAATTAATAATTTTTTTTATATTTTTTTTAATAAAATAAAAATATCTTTTTCCCCGTAACAACAATTTCTAATTTGTTTAAAATTTTAAAAAAAACATGAAATTTTATTTCCCCATTCCTAAATTTTAATTTCAACAATCCACAAACGATTATTTATTTTTTATTAGTTTTAGCAGGGGTTTTTCCATAGTTTTCAAAACAACTATTTTTCAACGACCATACACACGTTTTAATTTTAAAAAATACTACCCCATACTTCGCACGTTATTTCCGATTTCCCAAACATATGAAGCTAGTGACAAAAATGCATATTTACATCACTATTCGACATACGTTCATGTATTACTTCGCTAGGAACTTTACCTCTCGAGTCTCTCAAATCAGTAGACCTGGCGATGTCATACAGTCCCAAATCGTCGGAACTCAATGTACACATTCCGTATGTACTACATTTAATATTTACCGATGATGGTATACGGTAATAGCCTGGGTTACCGAGGCTGTCTACCGTCGTACCGACATTTAAGGTTAAGTCTCCCGTGATATTAACTGTTATGAAAGAAAAACACGGATCGACAGACGACCCTGATCGTTCTTATTACAATTGCCATCAGGACTCACAGGGAGCTAGTAATAATAAAACCGTGTAAGATCACACCGGCTGCCGGCATAGACCAAAGTACCTATCTTCAGGATAACTGGTTACGGCGGTAGCGAAGGTCTCCTTAAACTGTTGTATTGTTTGGCAATATTGACCTAAGATAATTTAACATTCAATAACCTTTTGTCATTAATTATCGAATTCCGGAGTAAACCACACGGAGTTTAAAGTATGGTTCTGTGCAACGGTATAGCTAAGCATACCACTTGACTTGTAACTAACATCGGTGACAAGGTGCGTTTCAAATTAAAGTTTGAAATCTCGAATCAAATGACTTTTTTGTTCTCTTGTGTGACTTTTAATTATATTTGCAACACTGGGCCATTTTTTTGCATGCGAGTTACCTATTGTACGACTTTACATATCGAAATTAATTAAATGAAAAATACACTAAATTTCATGCATGCGAGTCACTCATTGTATGACTACATACTGAAATTTTAGAAATGGAACAATATGTATTTTATAAAAATAAATGATAAAACTAAATTAAAAAAAAAACTAGAAATGAAACGCACACTTTATCAACTCTTGTTCCATTTAAGTAACAGTAATAAATTAAGTATAAGTATAAAAAAAACAGTTTGTTCACGATTCGAATTTGCAACTAAGTGGTCATAATTATGTCGATTTCACCACAAGGTCATGGTAGAGTAGTATATATTTATTATATAGAAGTACCGAGAGCTATATCAATAACATGTTAAAGTTGAGCATAAATTACTGCAACTAACATAAAAACCTCCCAAAAATTAATGCGTCTTTAGTTAATGTACCGAACAATAGGTTTAGATATTTGCAAAACGATCGACCTATAATCATTGAAAAAATTGTGCGGTATAAACCGATAGTTTATGTTGATTTATTTTTTTGCAATTATCTGCATACCTACATGTAGTCAAGACTTGTGGCGTTATGCGCATCTAAGCAAAAATGGTAAATTAACAGTTAAAATTCAAAACTAAATCTAGTGTTCAATTTTTATATATTTTACAGTGAAAAATAAATTCTCATGTTCAGTGGAAATTTCTATAACTATCGTTCAAAATGTATCGGTAACGTACAAATAAAAACATAGCCGCCTTTGACATACAGTATGATATTGAAAATAAGGTTAAACGAAAAAGTTTGATATACAAAACAATGACAGTTATAATTCTGCTGCACAATTTTTTAACTAAAATATGACTTGCATTTCAAGGATTTTTATCATTATTATGTCTGTACTATAAAGCCTGCATGTCAATGGATTCCTCATGTTGGGTTGACATTCTCTTAAGAGAAAAAAATATAAATATTATAATAAAATAACAACAAACAATCAAAATTAATCTACATTCGTTTGAAAAACATGAGAAATTGGTTGAACATTATACATTGCATGAATATTTATCAATTCTCTGCCTTTAAGTATTTTTTTAAACAAATTATGCCTAACGGAATGTTAAAATACACATTATTCTTATTTGTTTAGTAACAAATTAGGATCTCCAACATGTATAGTTTACATTTTTCAGCTGATGTAAACCAGCAAAGGTTAACGCCCAAAATCATCAGGAATTATGATTATGCTTAAACTTTTAATTTACGAGCAAAACATGAATCGTAGGTTTAATCCGAAAATACATTAGTCATTTCAAAACGGGATTTATCTCATCTAAAAAAATCAAGTAAGATCTACATAAATAAAGTCACGGGTGTAATAAAAGTCAATGAGATAAAATTTCGATGCATTACTTCAATTTAATTTATATTCTTTTATTCGGATCAACGTTCTATTTGCATGTAATGCGCGTTGTTAGTAAACGAATAAACTAATTATCTTTGTCATACTGTTTACACACCCACTTTTTAAAAGAATAAATTACAAATAATTTGTAAGTCTAAATTATCGCCTTAATTAACCAAGCTGATAGTTGGCCACAACTATATGAGACCACACGGGCAATGCAAGACTTGCACAAGATGCCTGAAAGGCCAACATTTTCTACAGCCTTGTAGCGTTAACAAGAAGCATGGTTGTCTTCATTTGTTTGATCCGAGTCTGCTTCTCGGCGATCGTAGAAAGAAACGCTCGATCGTACGATTATCGTGCGATTAAGGAAATATGCGACGTTTGAAATGACACCGTCAAAATCGTACGATTGATGTACGACAATAATACGATAAAAGCAGTCGTACGATCGTTGATAAGACGGTCCCCAGGTTTCGTTTTAGAAATATATCTAATATTTTTTCTGATATCGCTCTGTTCCAATGTTATCAATATTACACCCATCTTAATTACATATCTTCCATAACTCAAATATTCTCTAACTTTGATACGAGACTTTATAATAAAGGATACCTTGTGCAGACACTTAGAAGACGGCTGTATCGAAAGTGATTTCCTTCATCCTTCAGTACAAAAAAAGATTAAAATAACTGCAAATGCTAACAACCCTCAAAATAATCAACAAAGTGAGCATGTATACCATACGCTAATTTAAAACATTTACAAAAAAAACATCTATATACATGTATTGATAGTACGCGACTGTGTAAAACACTTGAATATTGTGGTTTGCAATTATTTTCAACCAGGAAGTAAATTCATTTTGTATCCAATGGACCAGTTAGCTACGGAATACCGTTAGGGCCATCGTTGTTATACATTATAATCCAGAGGGCGACAATGCGATGAAAACAATACGATATTGCGATGACGATAGTGCGACGGCGACAATGCAATAAATAAATGACTATAGTACGATAAAGCGACAATGCGATAGTGCGATGGCGACAAAGCGATAATGAAATGGCAACAATGCGATAACGCGATAATACTATCGGCATCGCAGAATCGTTCTAATGTCATCGCGTTTCGCACAGTCGCATTGTCGTCATCACATTTTCGCACTGACGTCATAGCGTTATCACACTGTCGCCATCATATTATCGTATTGAGCAGCTTTAAACTGCTGACGAATAAGCTGACGATATAGAAACTGGGATATCAATTTCACTTTTGTAAACACTTTTTTTAGGGGGAGGGGTGCTGGTATTTGTTTCTCTTGTTTGTAAGAAAATTTACCCATATACCTATAAAATAAGTAATTAGTATATACTTGTGATATTCTTATACATATATACACGAGAATCGTACTTTACTGATAAATGTTAGATTCCTGTGGTCCGACATAGGCCGTTCTATCATTTAAAGGTGACAATGAAGATATCAAACAAAAAAGAAACAATCATTTTTAAACATATGAAAATTTATTTTGACATGTTAAATTATTCTAAGTCGGGTGACCAAGTACTGATCGTTACCAGAATTCTGCCATGTATATGCTCATAGCTACCATTTTTAAATAAATGAGAATGTTTTTGGAAATAAAAAAACGCGCGTACACATTACATTTTTAGGATTGTTGATGTTCGAATGCGCACAAATATTTACAGTACACATTTTAAATATTCTTCTTTGAAAATTGTTTTATTTGCATAATTATATACATACAATTATATACATTTATAATCTTTTGCAAGTGTGGTATACACACAGTAACAATATCAATCACAAAACATACACGATCTTTAACAATTAATAGCAAAATAACAAATGTTGTGAAATGAACCAAATGTTTGCAGATCTCATTTTTTCTTCTCGATCATGTTTAGGTATCAGAAGCCACAGGGAGGATTTTTTTCCTCTTTTTTTAATGTAGTGACCATTCTGGATTTAAATGAATAGTTGTCTTTAAAGTGCGTTTTCAGCATAAAATTATTTGTATTTATGACATTAAAAAAAGATCACTGGTAAATTTCAAAACATGGTCAGAAATCACAATGTCAGGCAGTTGATCATTGATGTCAAGGCCGCCATTTTTTGAAAAATTTGATTTTATTGATTTTAAAAAGCATGCTAGGTAAAAACAAGTCATTTAAATGTAGGGTACATACTTTGAAGCACAAACAAAATAACTACTAAGCTGGGCATCTGTTTCTTTGTATTATTTTGCATGTATTGGGAATTGCTAAAGCAAAGGGGTTGTTATTTTAGCCTATATATTTGCAGGTATATTTTGTCAGAGGAACGAAATGTGTTGTTTTGGGTCTCTGGTCACAGAAGATTGAATGAGTTGAATTTTTGTTTTACTGTCTGACTATTGCAGATTGGATAATTTCATTGTAGATTTGCAATCATATGTCATATATGTTAAGGCGTATGCTTGACGGCAAACACTTGAAATTAACTGTAGAGTACTACCTTATCTTTAGGTTTTGTGTATGATTTAGTCAATTCTATGTGCTGACATGAAACATATTTTATTTGAGTAAATTTTCAGTGGTAAATGTTTGAAATTCTATTGATTCATCATTTTTCGATGTTTTCCAAAAAGGAATTAGACAGTGGTTTAACTATGGAGTCCTGGCTAATAACTTAATTAGGTCGATGTGGATGCCAGTTAAGCTGTTTACCGTTAAAAATATTGTCTCCTTATAATGTCAAACTACAACCACTTAAGTTAAAATACTTTGCTTTACACTTATAGCCGCTCATCTCACCCGCTCCCGATAATAAGCAAGCAAGAGTCATCACAGATATTCAGTTAATGAATAAACACCGGGTATTTCAGCACTATTGTTTGAAAAAAAGATTACCTTTTCTTTCGCTATTTCGGCATTTGGCATGCAAAATGTTAACATCAAAACGTGTGACTAAAATATTTGTCGACGACTTGTTATCGGCATTTATATTACAAATACCCGAATATGTCACCGGTTAACTTCCGACACCCGCTGATTTGTATCGCTGCGTTTTATTGGTTTTCAAATTTTGCCGACCACTTTTGATGCGTTTGAAATTATTGCACGTGTTAATCCAAATAAGGGCGACTTTGTTTTCGCTTCTTAAGCAAACTGGGCACTAAGTTTTTCGCCGAAGTCAGCTAAAACACAATCTCTGAATCATACACAAATGTCGGTCTGCTGTTGCTATAAATGTTTTGGGTCGACGGCCAAAAAATAGGGACAATTCAAGATAAAAAATGTTTGAGGGATATAGTTCCTGACCGAACATGTAACCGAACATGTAACAATGAAATGTTATCACTGAAGTTATTTTTTCTTAATACATAGAAATCATCATGATGTTAAAAGGAATTTCGTGACGGGAATACTTGCGAAAGAATATGTTTTAAATACGCGCAGTAAAGAAAAGTGAATATTTTACAAACTGGAGCGAAATAGAGTAGACGACCGTCAGAACATTAAAATAATGCACTCAATATTGATATTTATTTCCTAAATAAAGAAAACGCAAGTATATTTTTATTGCGTTGACTCATGCGTTCGTAGTTTCATACAATCGTACTGTAATATACGATATGTATGAGGAGTTTTTAACGTCCAAGCACTTTTAAAAAATAAGAATTTAACAAGTAAAATATCCTGTACTAACTAACTTGAATGTTTCATCGGACATAGGTTTATGATCAAATTTTAGATAATATCGGAGCTTTTCTAAAATTATTTTACTTAGTGTGCACGTCAAATTTCCATGGATTTTCAAACAGAAAAAATATCTTTTGGTAAATTTGTGATTTTCTCAAACAGTACTCATTAAAACAATTGATATCTGTCCTTGGCATTCATTATTTAGTTATTTCAAGTAATTTCATGAACAGATATTTATGCATAAGTCTCAACTATTGGTTTCTGATTAAAACAAGAGGCATGTATGTATGTATGTATGTATGTATGTATGTATGTATGCGTGCGTGCGTGCGTGCGTGCGTGCGTGTTTGTATGTATGTATGTATGTATATTTAAAAAAATATTGTTATCTGCAGTTTTGCCAATTTTTTTATCAGAAACAAACAAGATATAAATATGAAATAAAGTTGTTCAGTATCATATATTAAGAAATGGTAAACGGTAAATATTGAGAAAACTATTTATGGTTGTAAATTTTGTACCAATGCAACTTTGCAGCTGAAATATTATAAAACATGTATAAATACATTTCATGCACACAGATGTGTTTTTCTTAATGGAACTACTTTTATTACAAAGCAGATAAATATGCATTATTAGAAATAATGTGAAATCTGAATCTCGAACACTCGCTAGAAAATTAATTATAAACTACTGCTGCCTCAGACGTTTGACATAAAATATGTGTAGAAACGAAATTTTTATTATGAGCCGCGTCACGACAAAACCAACATAGTGGGTTTGCGACCAGCATTGATCCAGACCAGCCTGCGCATCCGCGCAGTCTGATCAGGATCCATGCTGTTCGCTATCAGTTTCTCTACTTGTAATAGAGTTGGTAAGCGAACAGCATGGATCCTGATCAGACTTCGCGGATGCGCAGGCTGGTCTGGATCCATGCTGGTCGCAAACCCACTATGTTGGTTTTGTCGTGGCACGGATCATATGTTTTGTCCTCCTTATCTGTGAATACAGTAAAGCAAATTTGTATGAATTATATAATTATCACGTATTTGGGTAGTTTTTCTTTCTCATTAAGACCGTGGAAAATTTGATAATTTTAACATAAGTATATCCCTAGATTTTGAAAATTGTAAGATTTCTTCTATTTTATTACTTTGGCAATAATCAAATCAAATGATTGACTAAACAATGTCATTTCCGTGTTTCGTTTTGATTTTCATAGCCACAAGTTCAAGGTTACAACAATAACACGAACAAAACACGTCATAAGAAAGCGGTTTATTAAATCTGGATAATAATTTACCCAATAATTATTTATAACAACTCTTACATTAATCCTCCGAAAACAAATGAAAAATGATAATCATACTTCTTGTTAAATTAGTAATTACGATGTTAGTTACCACATATGAATAGGATTAATATAATCACATTGTTTTTTGTTAGGTTATGATAAAAAGGTCTCTTTAATTAGTTTTACAACAATAACTGTAAGGAAAGACTAAATGTAGATGAATGTCAATATCATTTTTATCTTATCATAGATCATAGTATGTGTAACTGTCTGCTTGTTAACGATCGTCTTTCTGTTTCTGATCAGACATCGTCTTTTGTAATCTGGTCATCGGTTGCAAAAAACGTGAAGGAGCAGCTCACAGACCCGCATTTATATTTTTTCATTTGGTGCTCTTCATCTTCCATAAACACTTTCAGAGTCCTCGGTTTCAGAAGCACGAGGTCATTCTCGGTTTTAAAAACGCGAACAATTTTTGAAAGTTCAGTTTTCAGAGATTTTATTTCTGGTGTTAGGGGTAAACTGTCATTCATAAGGTCATAAATCGAGCTCCGCAGATTGTTTCCCTCACCGTCTTGAACTATAACTCGACGCAAAGCTTTCTCTAACCGACCCAATGTTCGTTCATCCGGTTTGTCGTCATAATACTTCTGTAAAAAGATTCAAAAATTAATATATTTTGGTGATGAAAGAAATGAATATATACAATATAGCTCTTTCATAATTTTTATTTATCTTTGTCAGGCATGTTCGATGTAAAATTGTGTCAACCGACTGATACAAAAATTATTTAAATAAGCACTTATTTCTGCTAAGGTTATGTAATTTAAAAGCTTTCTAGTGTATGCATATCTGATAACAAAATAATTTTATCAATTCTAAAAAAACTTTCATTTATGTTTATGGGTGTATAGTATCGTTTTACCCAAATTTTTAAACCCTAATTTTTCTCTCTGTCAAGTTATTTTAAAATTGGTTTAGTTGGCCTACAACCTGTCGCTTTAAGAAGATAAGTCTATAAAATGATACAGTGGTGGTATACGAACCCTTATAGAATCATAGGCGCTATTGAAAAGAGATATAAGGAGGTTAATGCCAACTATAGTAAATATAGCAACATATGATCCGAGATAGAACCTTGAAAACCACCACACCCAGTTACCCCCGCTCTTATCCGACTCCAGTATTGCTAGGGTAGCGTATATCTCGTCGCCATTAACAACAGAAAACAGCGTCTCCGCTGCTGCGGCCGGGGTTTTGAACTACAAAGAGAGAAAAAATAAATAAAGAAATCGCCGATAACCCGTGCTAAAATCGGCCATGATGAATATTAGGACTTTTTATGTCGAATACTCGTAAACAATTGATCCAACACTTTATGCTGAGGTTTTGCTAAATCTTAGGGCCAAATGTTTTATTTATGACAAAGTTGTGATTTGATTGATAAAGGAAATGTAATCGAAAGAAGAGTTCTATATGTGTAATGAGTAAAAGATATGGGTTCGACAAACCTTGACATGGTACGGCGCCATGACGACATATCCACCAACCCAGAACCCGACAAATAACACACCTACACAAAAAAGGTAGGCAATCACATCCCAAAATGCTCTGTATAGTGTATTAAATAGCAGCTGAAATAATAAAAGAATGAAATAAACTCTAAAAGTACTATCAAATAATGAATCCGAAGTATAAACGTACTTATGTACTGCAAACAAATAGTTCAGACATAGGTTTCTTTTTTTAAAAAAAGGTTAAAACTTTAAACATATAAACTTCGCAATAGGAATGGAAATATTCACCAGATTACTAATGCACATTTTCCCTTTCATATGCAAAAGTTTTAAATTGCAGAGGAAAACAATTTTTATACTCACATGGAATTTATTATGAAACTTGAAGAACCTCAGTAAACTTAGCCACGCTAATATACAGCCGACTCCTAACCATACGGTGTAGGAATCTAGCAACTCGAGCACAAACTCACTTTGCTGAAAAAATAAGGTTTTTAAAGCGGGTATAAGTTTGGAAACTGCAATAAATTTCATATAAATCTTTATTTGTTATGTAATTAAAATGTGCAAAATCAAACAGAATATGTGGTTTTAAAACTATCAAATATAACAGAAATTTATATTATGGTTTTTACGTGTATTCATTTATGTAAAATGCTCATTATTTACATGATGTGCATCTCTCATTCATTAATTATTAATACAACTACAGAAGCAACTGTTTGAAATTCATTCATATCTAATTGACTTAAAAAGGCTGCATAAGAAAACTGAAAAACTATCATAAATTATATATATACATTACCACTGTATTAAACACTATCCAGACTGTACCGTATATAGTCAATATATCAGAGGTAATAACCGTTACTTCCCAGAATCTTAAAAACCGAAAGTACTCTGACGCTGGCAGGTCCGTCTCATCCTTAGCTACAACCCCGAAGTATGCCTGATAGTGTTTCTTCATAAACTGCTTAGTTTTCTGAAAATAACCTTTTATTTACGTTCCTCTTTGCTACATTGCAAGCATATTCACCAAGAGTTAATCTTAAGCTTCGTCACAGATTTAGAATGATTTAAATTTTATTGACCATGGCCATACCGATGTTTATTATATCGAGTGGGTCAAGACTTATGTCGGACGTTAGCGAACTAATTACAAATAAACTACCATTAAAACGTTTCAGGTATGGTTCAGGTTTTTAGCAAATTCTCAAAGAAAATTGTTAAGCAGTATGACTACTTGCTTAGCCTGAAAAATGTACATTTTGAACAATATTCCAATCTGAAGAGTATATGCACACTGTTAACAATAAAATGAAATATAAAAGAAGTTTCATTAGTATCACGTACAGACTGTCTTTTTATACATTTATCAAACATCGTCATTGCTATTGTTAACACGCGTGATAATGACTTTTGTAGCAAGTATCGACATACCCAGAAAGTATAAGCAGCAAAAAGCATATTGGCAGTCGTCAACAATAACGATATAATACAAAAAACACAAACAGAGGCCCCGATTTCGTTTGAAGTGTTTTCTAACTGCCAATCTGTAATAAGAAAACTAAATGTAAAATCTAGAAATTTAAGACATTTTTTCTACTAGAATTATAATCGAGTAACTCAAAGTCTTGGATCTGAACATCTGCGGATGTTTCTAAATTCAAAATTTTACTATTTCATGTTTAAATGTTGAATTCTGCTTAAGCCGGTGCTAGGGGGCGTGGACGGTAACTTGCACTTTCCAGTACCGTCCATGTACAGGCTCAATCAAACCGAGCCTGCAACATTTTCAATTTTGCCGTGTTGGGCTTTCTTTAGGGATTCTGTATTTATCTATTTTATGATTACATCCGTGTTATTTGTGCCGTGTGGCGGCTGTAAAAAGTCTCCCCGTACATTTAATCAATGATGTTATATTTTCGATCCTTGAAGATCGTTCAGCACGACATTATTGTTGTGCTTGTGGTATTTTTAGTTTCAACTTTTCGGCATTTTCTTGCTGGGTGGTTCCAATATTCCTACTTGAATAATGTTGAATCACCCTTAGGATATGTTGCCTGCTTTTTAAATTTGTCTTTTGACGTCTTATCTGTGATACGCAGGCTTCATAACCTCTGATCCCCTTTCAAAATTCCATTTTATTTAGTTCCGCCCATTGTTTTCTCGTTTAGGGCACACGCTTTTTATTACTTGGGGACCATACGCCGCTTTTCATGGAATGGCACGGAAGTGTCACATTGAAGGTTCCATGATAACCGCCGTATGAACACATCTGCGGATGTTTCTAAATTCAAAATTTTACTATTTCATGTTTAAATGTTGAATTCTGCTTAAGCCGGTGCTAGGGGGCGTGGACGGTAACTTGCACTTTCCAGTACCGTCCATGAACAGGCTCAATCAAACCGAGCCTGCAACATTTTCAATTTTGCCGTGTTGGGCTTTCTTTAGGGATTCTGTATTTATCTATTTTTTGGAAACGAACACAAAACGGAAATTCGGTCTCAATAACAATAGTGAAACCCACCAGGACAATTTGCTGTCAAATCGTATGTTTGATCATTATTGTTATATGATATTCTTAAAAAATATGGAAATTTGTGACGAAAATTTAGAATGCATAATTATACTCAAATTATTATTATTTGCTAGAAAGCAACAATTTTTTCATTGAACTGACTATTATAAACCACCAACAGAAAAAACTAACAGAACCCATGCTAAAACTCTGAAACGTATAAGTAAATAATAAATGAAATATTTACATACTAACCTGACAAAGATAGATTCATGTCTTTACACTTTATTTTACTAGATCTTGTATCAAAATCAACCAACACTTGACCATTATTGTCCAGATCACTAAATTCCAACTGTAAAGGTCAAATTGTCAAAATCACTTTAT